ATTGATTTTGCTTGCCGGAAGCCGGCTGGGAAAAGCACAAATGGCGATCACATGACCTTGGGATGCTGTAACTGTTGTAAATATATGCCGGTTGCCAAACACCTGAATTTTGATCACATGACTGCAGGGTTGCTGTGACAGTCGTAAATGCGAGGACCAGTCGTAAGTCACTTTTTTCAGCACTGTTGTAACTTCGAATGGTTGTTAAACAAATGGTTGTTAAGTGAGGAATTCCTGTAAATCTTGTTTTTCCTGAATGAGCTAGCCTGGTGCTTAGAAAGCAGGACCGCCCCCCTTCTGACCTTTATCCTAGAGTCTGATGTGAAACTATGGAAATTTGGATTAAAAAATGCACTCACGGGAGTCTGCTTCCATCAGCTCAGTCAATCAGAAAGCCTGCTGAAGTATAGGCAATTAGTCTTCCCAAACACAAGAAGGTTTGTAAAGAAGCCTGTGATTCAGCTTATCTGCAGCTTCCATTGCCGAGCTGAGATTTTAGAGCGCTGCGTTCAAACCCTGTAATTAATTAAAACCACACCGTTCAGTGACTGCAAAAAAGCTTTGAATGTAATTCTGTTTTTTCCAGAGAGAATCCTGTACTTCCAGCTTCGCCCCGTGGCTTATTTGTTACGGTTTGCGGTTAGCGCAACGTTCGCGTTTAGAAGGACAGCTAAAAAACGAAATAAGTAAAGCAAGATTTTTGCAGGGGCACCCAGCTCAAAAGGAGATGTTTCAGAACGCAAGCTCTTTCACGAAAACGGAGCGTACGAAACCACGTTTCATCTGCCCCGTTCTGCCTGATCGATCGTGCAGCAATGCAACATCGTTCCTTCTCCGACTGAGACTATTACCGAAATTCGAGTCAACCAGCTTTTGCATTTTGACAAGACAGAATGCCAAATTTGATTTACTCCGATTCTGAAATGCATTGGTGTGTTTTCCAATCACCAATCCCGCTTGTGGTTGACCAGGCGTGTCTGCAGGGTATGGCCCAAAAAGTGAAGAGGCTGGCTGCGATCAGCGCTCTGCCTGTGTTTTGCGTGTCTGTGCGATTCCCCTAAAAGGCAGAACTTTTTCCGGTTTCGCACCACCGGAGCCGCCATTTTGACTTTTTGGACCACACCCTGCAGCCACCGCTGCGGCTGATCATCAGCAATGCAGTTCTTGTCTCAAAAAGGGCAGCAGAAAAAAATGAACGCAACGGGGAAAGGGTTTGAGTAAAAACCAAGAGTGGTTTGGCACTTTCAGAAGCTCACCAATTTAGGTTTAGAGGAGTTTTGTGCATCGAGCCCATTTTCATCAAGTCGGTAGGGCGAATCCGGTAGAATGAGTGGGATCCATAAAGGAGAAGGTAAAGCTAAATTTGTTCGGCCTGTAAGGAGCCAGACTGCTTACCGCTGGGAGATTTAGATGCAAATATATGAATAGATGTCTTTATGCATCATATTTATATAGCTGCCCATCTCACAAGATTTGTGACTCTGGGCGGCGTACGATAAAAAAGGAATCATAAAAAGTAACAATTCAACATCCAACAATTAAGACAGAAAGTTACTAATAATGGGGTAGCAGAGAGAGTTATTGTTATGGGCCCATCTCATTAATTCCCTAATATTAGGGAATGGTGCAGATGCATAACAGAGAATGCTTGTTTTTGGACTTCCACCTATTGTATCTCCCAGAAGATGGAGTTTTCTAAACTACGTCCTTAGTTAGACCGTATTGGGTAGGGAAATTCTACCTGCACTTGGAGGGTGCACTAGAGATGATAAACAGGACTTTATACTGGGTTTGGAAACATCAAAAAAGTCAAGATGGGGGTCACAGCCTCACCATGGAAGCTCCTCGCATTTTGCATGTCTGTCTGTCTCCCACAATTGTTGCTTATTTATTTTTATCATTTCCCCATTTTTCATTGTAAGCCCTCCGGAGTTGTTCTAGAAGGGGGGGGGGGTGTCGCTAAACAACATGAATAAATAAAACCGGTCACAACCACCATCTTGACTTTGTTGACCTTTTCCCCCTCAGTGCTGCTCTAAAAACACCCGTCTTCCTTTTTGAAAACCAGGAAAACCGATCTGAGACATAGTGACTCCTTTAAGTTTGGCTACGATTTCAGGTTGCCTGTTATTTATTTACAGTATATAATAAATAATAATAATTCATCGTCATCATCATTTAGTAAATGTATATGCCACCTGACTCCCAGCAACTCTGAGTGGTTCTTAATTGGGTCTTTACTGTTTTTAAGGTTGGTTGGTTGGATTGCGTCAGCCTTGCGAGGTAGTCCAGACAGGAAGCATGGCCAGAGGAGCTGATTCTATTTTATTGGAAGGTTCCATTAACGGAACCTTGCAAGTCTGAAAGTCCATCTCCCCCTTCCTTGCCTTTACGGCCCAAGAGACTAGGGAGGGTCCCTTCTGAGACGCTTTCCACACTCCCATTCCTGCTCAGGGCTCAGCTGCCTCTTATCCAACTGTTCTCCTGGCTGTAGCTCTTCCCCATCTCCCAAGGTCATTCCCACATACCATTACATATATGTACTTCTCCCTTCTCTACTTCTCCTCACAACCACCCGTAAAGGAACTTGGGCTAAGAGAGAGTGACCAGTTCCCAGCTACCCAATGAGCTTCTGTGGCTGAAGGTGGACTAAGTGCTTCTTGTCTGGACTACCTCACAAGGCTGATATCAATCTTGCATGTCTAAAGTCCATTTCTTCCCAGTCCCCTTTCCAGCCCAAGAAACTAGGGAAAGTCCCTTCTGAGACGCTTTCCACACTTCCATTCCTTCTGTGGGCTCAGCTGCCTCTTATCCAAATGTCCCCCTGGCTGCGGCTCTTCCCCCTGTCTCCCAAGGTCATTCCCACACACCATTACAGCTTGGGACAGCTTTCATTGACCAACAGCCATGGGATCTTCATGCTTGATCCAGACCTTGGGGAAATAAATCAGCCAAGGAACAAAATCTTTGCTTATTTGTCTGGATGACACAAACCTCCCACTTTGCGGCTTTGCCCTGCCCATGGCAAAGACAGAGCTGGAAATAAACTCCAATAAAATCAGCCATGCCCCCGTCAGCAAAAGAGGAGCCCATGGCTGAAAGAACAGCAGCTTTAAGGTTTTTAAAAAGTTGGGCTATGCCATTGCACGGCCCCCATGCTGTTGGAGGAACATCAGTTTTTCAAAATATGCATGGCAGGATCCTGCAAACGCCTGGCCTGATCCCAAAGATGGGGCTGAAATAGGGGCGAGATAAATAAATCAACCGTGAACCCACAGGGTGCGCGGTTAAAAAAAGAAGGAATAAATTAAGCGTGTTGCGGAAATGGCTTTCTTTTGAAAGAGCTTTCCGCGTTCCTTCTCTGGCTGCAAGAGATCAATGTAGGGGAGCCGGCGTGACTTATATTTATTTTATTTATGTATTCAATTTATATAGCCACCCATCTCAGACTAGTGACTCTGGGCGGCTAACAGCAATAAAAACAGTCAACACTTAAAACAGTAGAAAAAAGTAATTAATTAAT